AACGGGTCGATTTGCGTGCACGGACGAGTGCTATTATGCGGTGGTGATAGTGACTGAAAAAATATGACCGTAATGCAAGTGATTTATTCAAGTGGAAGCAATCGTATATCCAGACCCTTGACTACTAATAAAGGCCCAACTGAAATTGAAATATTACCAAACGATACAGAAATGTACCCCAGATCCCAGATCAGTTCGAAACCTGTCATCGATGACAAACTGACTGGCACCTTGAATAACCTCTCCGCACAATTTAATCAATAATGAAAAAGAATTTTCCTTCCCAATTATTATTCCAACCTTCCCTAAAGGATTGCTATTCTCTCAGTTTTTAGCTCACAATTAGTCTCCCTTTCTCAAATATAGCGATGAAACCCCAACCCAGTACTCCTGAAAGCAAAACTTCTGGTGTTGATACTGTTCGTGCCACAACCACTCGAGTGCCCAGGGTGAAATAGCAGGCAAAGCATGGATCGGCAAAAGCACATGATAATGTATTTGGTCAGTTTCAAGTAGGCTTTCACTTTTCATAAGCTTGCTTCTACTTCTCTCCAATTTTTCCCTTGCATGCAATTCCGAAGAGCACACCAAAGTGGCAACGCAAAGGAGGAAAAGCCATGAAAAGGGTTCAAGTCCAAGGCACAATCCCAATCATACCCATATCCCATATCATATCATCATACTATTCAGTTCCACATATCGTTATGCCACTAAGTACCAACAGGATAACGTTCGCTTCCTTCGAAGGTGGCCCGAAAAAATGCGAATAAATCCGAGTAAGGGTGAATCAGAGTCTCCTATTCCGAATACAAATTGCTTTTTATGCATTTAAAATAGAGGATCAAATCTTACTATCAATATAACGTCTACATGTGGGTGGATACCCAGAGAACCGAGCGGGAATTTTTCATGCGTGCAAGCAGCGTCACGCCACTGCCAGCCCCTGATGCCCATCTGCGGCGCACATGTGCCTTCACGAGTAGAAAATTCGTACCCTTACATAATAGAAGTCAGTCACATAGATATAGCTGACAGCTGAGTTGTGTTGGCGCTCCTTGAAAATACCGCCTAGCATATTCTCTGCGAGTGGCCCGAAAAATCGATTTTTTCGAACAAGTGGGTTTGAATCATGATTGTAGAGAAATGAAGCGAAGAAAATTGTACATAAAAAGCAAAAAGTAGGTAACAAGTTTACATATAGAAAAACTAACGGGCGCTGATGTTTCAAACTATCCAAAGTTTCTATGAACACGAATACTACAACGAACCCTCTCGAAACTTCCATTTTGTAATCTACGACGTTTTCTGGCATGTTCAGCTTCGCTTGATGCTGACGATGAGCTCGAGTCGCTATCGGCTCCTCGTTTACCATTCCGATGATAACCGTCCCGCTGAAAGTATGAAAAAATGGAACACGATGCTATCTATGGTCGTCATGACGATTAGAATAGTAAACGGTTACTTAGATTGTTTTTTCAGAAACATTCACTTATCTAATCAGTTTCAAATTCACCGTACCTCGTGATGCGGAAAACCATTGCTATCTCGTATGATACTTGCCATTAGTTTAAGATATCGACGTTGGCGTCAATCATGTCGCAGTTTTCTCTGGAAAGGTTTGCATATTTCACGTGGTCACTGTTTCTCAAAACCTGTTGGTTATACAAAAAATATCAACAATCGCTACAGAGTAGCATGAGCCAGGTTTCTATGACAACGTTTGTATCGGACCAAATCTTGAATCGACTTTTTTGATTAACGAATTTACGCGACAGACGTGAAAGACACCTTCCCAATTCATCAGGCATGCACAACTAGAATGTGAAAAGATTTGAAGAAAAATACCGAAAAGGCAGGCAAATTCTGGAATATTCTTGGAACTAATTGTTCGTGGCAAGGTCACACAGAAACACACATTAAGAGCATATGGCTCCCTGAAATGAGCTGTCATGAAAAACGGGGGTGACTCACTGTCATAAGAGTGGATTAGGGAAAGTGAAAGTAAACGAGAAAAAGTTTCAGCCCGTGCTGCATCACCAGTAAACAGTCATCCAACGAAATTATCGATTGTAAAGTGAAAAGCCTTCAAATTCACCCGCTCATATTATTTTCAAATTTTAGATCAGAGAGATGCTGATGTTCCCAGCAATACGTATGGTAATGGTAGAAAAAACGCGATTTCCGAAAAAGCCAACATCCAAAATGTTCTCAAAGGGCAAACCCAGACTTGTAATCAAACAACAGATTAGCTGACTAGAAATGCATGATGGAGTCACTTATTTACAATACAAATCAGTGAAAAAAACAAGTGAAACGATAATGCCAACCCGAGAAAGTCGAGGGAAACCACCTCCGGCACAAGAACCCCCACGAAGTGACGTCACCGTAGATGTAAGTGCCAAATCGAACCGCGACGCAACGAAGCCGCTCCGGAAGGCGGTCCCCTGTGGAAAAGCTGCGCGGCAACTCAAATTTTGGCACGCACTCAATTTCTGGAAGTACGCTGCCCCGCACTGAGCGTTTACTGCTGCTTAGTTTTATAGTCTTTGTTTTAGATTTTACTTTGCTCAATGTGCTTGTGGTATAACTCCCCGAAACCCCTCGATAGCATAGCATTCCAAGGCCTTATAGTGCTTTTGCCTACTGCTTCGAGAAATTCCTAAGTTTCTCTGTTGATTCGAAAGTCTCACGTTCTTCGAGTACCGTAATCTAACTTTTGTCGAGTTAGATTCTTTTATTTTTTAAAGCGTGGATTCATTTAGATGGCGTCTGGAGAGCCAGCAACGAAGAAATCGAAGACTGATGCTCTGCCAGAGCATCTCAGCGGAATACCCGAAGAGACTAAAAAAGTGTTGATCGAGATTGATGCTGTACAAAATGAAATCGACGGTTTGAATGAGAAAGCCTCCGAAGAAATACTGAAGGTGGGATTGATTTCTGTGTGTTTTCTTTTGATGTCTATTTGTAACATTGCCGCCCAGAAATCATCAAAGGGTTTACTCACCTATTGAATGCATGCCACAAGGTTATACCTTTAGTCGATATTCATGATCCTTTTGGATCTTGAATATCGACTATATCGATTTACCTTTGAAGAATTATCTTTTGGGGAATGCTTAGTAAATGAATTGGGAAGTTTCCGTGCTCGGGCACTGTACTTCGCTACTGCTTGGTGGTGGTCTCGCAACTATTTACTGCTTGTTCAGAGCGCAGTAAGTCCTCATCTATTTAAGCACCCTCAAGGAATGGAGTTTGGTTTTTCTCAGAAAGCGGAAAGAGCTGAGATTCATGGCACAGGTAGATATTCGCTTTGAAGGATTGCTTGTGCAGCAATAAACAGGCCTAACTTTTGTCTGTCATGTTTCTAGGGTTTCATAGGGACCTCACATCAGGCCATTCATTGGTAGTGTTATTTCAGTCCGTGTAAATGAGGACTTACTATAACTATTTTCGGTTCTGAAGTTGTCGAAAAATGGACTTTGCCCTCTACACGTAGTTGTGTTCTGTCTTCACGAGAGCTTTACCCTGATGTTTCTGTCATTGGATATCGAATTTTGAGGCTCTACTGGGCATAATAATTAGACCTGATTGTAGTTTCAGGCTAAAGCTTCAAATAGAAGCTCTGTGTAAACACATGGTCAACACTGAATTTTTACAGGGCGCGAAAACCTCTTTAGAAGAAATTTTTATGAATTCAGTGAGATGTGTGTAGCATTGTAAAGAAAGGTGAAGCCTAATAAAAGGCTAAAAGCGATGGGCCGAAAACTGAACAGGAAGTCTTTTCTGCTACCATTTGGAATTAAAAAGGCAGCGCTCAGGCAGATTATCGCGCAATGCTTTCATAATTTTCGGTGGGGGAAAGTACTTACCCCAGAATCAGGACTTCATTTCAAATTAGATCGAATTTTGAAAGGCTTGGGGCCTTAGAGTTATTAACACACTCAGCAGTTGTTTCAAGCTAAAAAGAAAAAAACCCTGTATGCTACAATGTTAGTAAAATGTAGCCTGGTTTGTATTGTGTGCATTGGTCAATGTCAGGTTTGAAAGACAACAAAGTGCTCGTCCCGGGCTTTGAAATCAATGGTCATTCTATAGCCCTGGTTAGTTGTCGATGTAAATCCAGCGTCTCTTCTACGTTGCTGTTTCAATTCCTTGGAGTTTTTTTGAAGGTCAGTGAAGTAAAAAAAAANAAAAAAAAAACGAGTCGGTGACTACGCAGTGTAGCTTGGATACCTGGGACAGCTCCGCAAAAAGTCTATACCTCGATGCTTATCGCAATAGACTAGTTTTCCATATTTTTTTTATCAAATTATTTTCTTTTAAATGTGTGGTAGAAGTTTTCTTTTAAATGTGTGGTAGAAGTAAATACCTCTTTTGAAGAACAAGGGGGGAATCACATGGCCGGACTTACTGGCCTACTTGAAAGACGTGGACAAGGGTGGACTACTTCACTGCTCTATATTTCTAAATTATTCATAATCTATAGTATTTTATGTTGCAAAATATAAAACAAAATAAGCCATAAACTATTACGAATTATAAGGCAAAGATTGAAACGGTTTTTGCGGATCGTAGAGGTATTTAGAGTCGTTATAGACTTCTTTGTGTTCCATAACATTGTGAAAAAAAAATAAAACACAAAATTCAAAGGGAGTTTTAGAACAGATGAGGGAAAGTTCAATGTCTTGTCTTTTCAGAAACACTTGCAGATAAATAACTATCCTCAGAATAGTTGGTTGGCCATTCAAGTGTTGAGTGAATGTTTTTAGTGGGGCTAAGACTTCCTATTACTACATAGTCTTTCCTTGCACCGGAAATTATTCATTGTTTCAGGTCGAACAAAAGTACAATTTACTGCGTCGTCCTCAGTATGAGAAACGATGCGAGATGATCAAGAAGATTCCCAATTTCTGGTGTACTGCTGTTAGTTATCCTTTGATTGATTTAGTGTAAACTCTCGAGCTACTTTTTTCAATTTAGTTCCTCAACCATCCTCAACTTTCGTCCATAATTGATGAAAGCGAGGAGCAAGCATTGACACATCTCAGCAATATTGAGGTGGGCCTTTTTATCTGAATTCATTCTTAGTTCATGTATTTCTTTTGTGTAGCATATCTTCAGCTGTTTTACCTAGGTGGACGAATTCGATGATATCAAAAGTGGTTTTCGTTTGCGATTTTTCTTTACGCCCAATGAGTTCTTCGAGAACGAAAAAATAGAAAAAGAGTACAATCTTGGAGACACCCCATCAACCACAGGCACTACCATACGGTGGAAAGAGGGCAAGAATTTGGGCAAGGTAACGCTTTCTCGAAAATTTTTTAAAACTAAAACAGTTCCTTTTTTTGAGTATTGAATTTATTCCTTCCAGAAAGGTGACTCATCATCACCGCTGTCGTTCTTCGAGTGGCTTTCAGAAAACGTCGATCCTGCACACGATGACATAGCTGAGGTAGTGTTTTCGCGGTCTGTTTAACCTAATAAACGTTTCCGCAGTGTTTCGCCTAAGACATTGCCTATCAGGTCATCAAAGACGATATGTGGCCGAACCCTCTGCAGTATTACCTGTTGCCGGAGATGGAAGAGACTGGTGACGATTTTGAGGAGCTCATTGATGATGAGGAGGGACTGGAGGAAGTATGTGGTTTATTTTTAACTGTTATCACTTTTAGGCTTTTCACTTAAAAGATCAGATGGTTGAAGAGAATTTAGATGGAAAGAACTGTTTTACAGTTGATAGTAGTTGATCCTCTGTGACTATACTAATTTGGAAGATTCGAGCGCAATATGGCAAAATTTGAGCAGGATTTTTGTGCTAGGTTGTGCTCATTAGGCTTTGTTTTGAATCAGTAATTTCTTATTTGATGCAAATCTCTCATTAGTTTGAAAGAGATGGGTATCATCTTTGAAAGGAGGATGAATTCCTTTTAGTAGTCATACACTAAGGATATGAAAAGTTTCATCATCGTTGATCTCTGCCTTCTCTTCAGTGACATTTCCACTTGAGTGCGTGTATTCTGTTTACATTTATTTTTGGAACACGTCAGTGAAACTGGTTTTGCCATATTTTCACGAACTATGAGGTGAAACTTTGCTCAGTACTTTTCGGGACAGTATTCATTGAGGCCTGGAAATTTTGGCTGTTTTCGAAGTTCTGGGCCTGAAATTAGTGGTTGTATGTTGGAAATCAGAACGTTGTTGGTGCAAGAACGTTGCGTACAATAATTGTAGGCGTTAACATTGGGAACATTCAAGCGGACCGACTGGTAGTAATTTTTTAGTAGGCGATCGACGAAGGCTCCATGGTTGCACGAAAAGTACCTTGGTTATTTGAGACAACAGTTTTTCGTGATTATATTTTTTTTATTTCTTTTTTTTTTGATTTCATGGTAATGGTTTGAACAGATCACGGAAAGGGATCAAGTTGTCAGAGAAGATATCCTCAATTTTGGTGATCCTGTAGATTCGCAAAGTCATTGATTATATTTGCACTATGATTTCACAGTTTATAAGTTATACAGTTAGCACTTGAAAAAATTATTCTCAAAACACGGAACTGTTGAATAATTGGAGTAATAGTTTCAGGTGGATGATGAAGGAGGTTCAGAAGGTGAAGAAAACGATGCATAAACCCTTCTCAATTCTCCGCAGACCATTGTACTTGGAATTTCGTCACTCTGTGGTTGTTTTGTTTGTTTCACAATGTTGTTGACGATTTCTCCGGTTTTGTTATAATAATGTCGTGTTTACTGCGGGGATAGAGACGCAAAGGGTACTATAGGGTGTAATTCATGTGGGTGAGAATGCTGAACACGACTTAATTTCACTGCTGACGGATAAAATCTAAGCGTGGATTTTGATACTCATGTGGTGGACGTGCTAATCCATCAAATTGGTTACTTCTATGTCTAATATTTAATCCCGAAGAGTATTTGTTCAAGAATAAACCATTTAGATTCAGCTGAGTTTTTGACAAAGTGGTTATTATGAGTGAAGCTCTCAAATTGGTGGTGTATCAGGGCGGGCATATGCGCTCACCTCGTTGATAAGCTTGAGCTGTATCGAATCCACCAATGAGTGCTCTGGGTCCGCGGTTGGTCCGAAATCTGCTATATAGTATGAAATAGTGGTTCCCAACTCTCATTTCCATACTACCAATGCAATCAAATGGTTTGAGGGTTGATCGGTGTGATTTCATCTGAATACTCAGACTAGAATAACCTAACCTCCGTCAGGTTACGGAGTAAGCCTTACAATCATTTCCGTTATTAAGTCTAAATCGAAATTGCCATGTATGTAGGTAGGCTTATGCCAAGATGGAACCAATGCAGGCTGAATTACTACAACTGCGAAATAACCATTCTCACATATTCGCAAACTTTCCATAATTTTCTTAGAGGACGAGTTGCATCGTCGTTACGGCAAATGCCGCATCGCTGTAGTTTGGCGCGAAGTGATGCGCGCGGTCGCCAAGTGGTCAGTTCGCCTGCTGTTCCTTCAGTATTGGTGAGGGAAAAGAAAAGCAATTCATGGCTTCGGCGGGGTCTTCATACAACTGGCCAGGTCGTGCACCTTTGAAGTTTTTACTCGTCACCTATTTTCTCTCTAAGAAAGTCATGTTGGGTAGATCATTTCGGCGCCATCATACGCTTTCACTTGCGCGGTCCACTCACGTATGCATGGCGTAGCTCGCCTTTACTTCAGCGCTGCCTTGTCAAAGGTCAAGGATGTTTACTCTCGCTGGAGAGATCCAAACTTATTGTTAGTAGAAACAAAGCAACAGTTCCCTAAGGTTGCGTAACAATGGCTACTTTTTATGAGGAAAATTATGTGTAATGAGTAAAAAAAAGTAAGATAAAAATAAAAATAATAAAGTAAATACAAGTAAAATTTATAAATATATAGTTAAGAATTTGTAATTTCATTGCTAAAAATAAATGTTTCAAAGGAACTAATGCCAAAGGGGCTGGGATACATTACGCGTTTGTTTCACTAGAATGTGTTCAGCCTTACTATGATTTCCCCAGAGTGAGCCCTAGTATAGTTGAAGGCATATTTTGTTGAAAATGCTCCTCAGTGTAAGCGTCATGTGTCATTGAACACCCCTTGAAGTCGAAAAGGTTACGGTACGTAATTTAAGAAGGTACTCACTCGACTCGTTGAACCACAGCCTCTCTATGGAATGGTCAATGTTTCCCTTCAGTCGAGGGTATGGCAAGACAACCACTAAACGGCCAAGGAACTACGTTTTCTCTTCCAGCATTCGGCCAAGTAATAATAGAAATTAGTAATGATTCCTTATCTTACACTGCTCTTCTTTGCTAGTGCATGCAGTATACGGTTCTGTCTTTCTTAGGAATTGCATGCTCTAACAAAAGAAAAATCGAATCGCTTGATTTGAGTGGACCGATTTGAGATGTGCCATGCATCCTGCATTCCATCTGAATCGCAGCAGCGGTTGAATGGGCACTTGTTTTATAAATTGCGGGTTGACCGATGTGAGCGAGATGTTTCGCTGTCCAATGCGGTTAAGATGTTTCGCTCTCTTTCATGTAATGATTGAGTATCCTTATGAAGATGGCTGTTCAGATTTACCAAATCGGCAAACTCCTTAGTGTGCGCCACGAGTGCGACTTCCTTTCCGAAAAGTATGAATTGCTGATGAGTCTAGATTGGGTCGGGGTAGATTAAAGTTGAAGTTCTTAGTTCACAAAATGACGCTGCCAGTAATCCAGTTCTGGACGCAAAAGATGCCTTCCAGTTCGGAAAGGTCTAATGTCATCCGTTGATCTCATCCCGAGGGCCTCTAAACATTGAACTGAATTCTCATCATTTGTAAACTTTGTTTCTTTGTATTGAAATGTCAATGCCCATGATCTCCGCTTCCCTCATGAATCCCTCCCTCAGCTTAGGCATGTGGAATAGGTTTTTAGTAATTCTTCGTGGTTTTAAAGATGAAGTTGAGGTGTACTACTTCCGTAACCATAGAGGATGGGAAGTGTAGTGCCCAGGGGCGCCTTTGCTTATACTGGTATGCACGCACGGATAGAACATAACCCATCCAAACAAAGGCTTTCACCTCACCTGTCTCAATCTGGAACAGTATTTTCTTCCGGCTGTACTCAAGCATTCTGGTTTTCTGAGTATCCAGGAATTTTAGTTGACAAACAACTTATGGGCATATCGGATGGACGAGCGTGACTCCGCTATAGTGACGATTACGCTTGGCTGATTCACTAGAGCAATGATTGTTGCCGACTTCACTACGGAACGAAACGGATTTCCGTCTACATCTTAAATAAGAGCAGCTGACTTCTTGCAGTCTAATTAGGTTCTCCGACGATGCCATAAGCTCAGCTTCCCGGTTTTACCATGGTCCGCCGTCCTTCGAATTTTTACTTGAGCATATATAGCTCATGCAACAAAGACTATATTCAGAATCCTAAGACAGACCTCTTAGAACCGATAAATTATTTTTTTGAATAAATGGCAGTCACCTTG